TTGCAAAGCGTAGAGTTGATCTCCTGTGTTTATATAAAAATGATGTGTCAACATATTTAGGATAACAATCTGGCACAAAAATGTTATAATTATATTATATTTTAATGTATTTTGATTGTTATCTCTTTTGTTGTCCATATAATAAATAAATAAATAAAAGTATACTTCTCTTAAAATTAGGACTAGAATTAGGATAGACTAGAAATAGGAATAGAATTAGACTTTTTCTTAAACGTCATTAAACTTTGTCGTGAACGACAATAAAAAACAAACGACCTTTACTTTACGCCCTAAATACGTAAGATAAAGCAAAGCATAGATTAGATCGTAAGGATTTCGATTATCAAATTACATGTTTGCGACCTATTTATTTGTAATAATAACCTATTAAAAATTATTATTACGGTACATCCCAAATCTATACAAATAAATAAAATTGAAGTGTCTGTTTGTAAGTAATGTCAAAATTACAGCTTATTACTAAATACATATGAAAGTATATACGGTACTAATAACAAAAATACAATTTTTAGTTTTTGTCTGTCTGTCTGTCTGTCTGTCCGTCTGTCTGTCTGTTTGTTCCGGCTAATCTCCGAAACGGCTGGACCGATTTTGAGGGGATTTTCACTGGCAAATAGCTGAAGTCACAAGGAGTAACTTAGGCTACTTTTATTTTAAAAAAAGAATTAGGGTTCCGCGCAAACAAATTAAAACTCCAAATAACACGCGGGCGAAGTCGCGGGGAACAGCTAGTAGTAAATAAAAAAGAGCTAAAGCTGGTGAAAATCCAGGTCGTAAGGGGCTTTTTTTAAGATTATTTTAAATATACCAATCGATATAGCTCGCGGCGCTGATTCCAAATGTATATATAACTCATTTTCGGCAAAATGTCCTTTACGACAATTGAAATCCCACCAAAAACATTCTGTAAAAAAACTAGCCAAGTCTCGATGGAGCTGCTTGTTTATCTCTAAAAAGTAATGAAATCTAGACAAAGTCGTGCCAAGTCTAAGGTTCCTTACTGCGATTTCTTTATTATTATAGTTAATGTTGTGTGACTTGGCCGTTGAAGGGTACACAGGGTACAAAACCAGGCGCTACATGACACCATTGCACCAATCTGTCGCCAGAACCGCTACCCATTGACGATGGAAAAGTGCTTCTTGGAAAACGTTGATTGAATAACCAGTCAATTGTAAGCTTGATAAAGTTGCGTTTACACGTAATGTTGCACGTAATTGTGTTTACACGTAATGTTATATCTGTTGTAACTACTTATGTTTGTTAAGCGAGATAATAGCCCATAGTGGTATTGGTAATTGGACGCTAGTGTCTCATTTTACGCGGTTGTTGATTGTGCAACACATGCATTCAGCATTCACAATGCTGACTTCTACTCTCTTCTTTTTCGAGCGTCAAATCGACCACCGATCTAACATAAAATAGACGTACAGACGGACTTCTATCAATGATTAGAAGTCCGCCTGTACTGGAAATAATTTTTTATACTGTTTGTTTCAGGCTCGCCTATACAAAAGTATTATTGAAATACGCAGCTTTATCAAGCCTACAATTGACTGGTTATTCAATCAACGTTTTCCAAGTGGCAATTTTCCATCGTCAATGGGTAGTGGTTCTGGCGACAGATTGGTGCAATGGTGTGTATGCAATATAGCACCTGGTTTTGTGCCGTTGTGTTCCCTACAACAGCCAAGTCACACAACATTAACTATAATAATAAAGAAATCGCAGTAAGGAACCTTAGACTTGGCACGACTTTGTCTAGATTTCATTACTTTTTAGAGATAAACAAGCAGCTCCATCAAGACTTGGCTAGTTTTTTTACAGAATGTTTTTGGTGCGATTTCACTGCTTTTTGTAGAAACGTGGGCATATTATGATTTATTTTATTAGATTTTCTTATTTGACACATTTTTTTAGGCGTAGTTTTTTTTATTATTACAAATCTTTCTTTTCTTTTTTTCCGGTTCTGATTCTTGTACAGTAGCAACAGTTTTTCGTATTGCCCGTTCGCGTTCATTATTTATTCTTTTAGACGGTTTATACGGTTTAATTTCTGAAAGATCGGCGCGGTATTTACGCCTAAGCCGGTTGTATTAGGTGATCGCTGAAGCTTGAGCTTTTATACTCTTGAAGTCAACATTTATGAGGTGCACCCCATGAAGATTGGTTACTCGTGAAAGCGCCACGTAGGCTTGGCCACAAGAGAATATGGAGGTGCCAATGTCCATGAGGGCATTTTTAGACTTAGACCTTGGCTCTTATGAATTGTTAGGGCATACGCCACACAGATTGGGAATTGTTCTCTGTACACGTATTTTTTTTATGTACCAATAGTAGAAGGAGGCATTACCATATCTCTAATACATCTGAGATCTGCTGAGGATACTTCAGAACTTCGATTTTTGACATCAAATGAAGCGGCCCACCAAGTTGAATATTTTTTGTAAAGGCGGTATGTCGATCTCTTCTAATAGTTTGGTTGGGCTCTTGTGTTTCCCAATCAGGGTCCCCAGGTACTCCAGATCTTCGATTATCCTAGTTTTTATAGTTTCCCTTTATGTGGCCATTAAACCCTAACTCTGTACCAAATTTCAGCTCTCTGAGTTTATGGGAAGTACTAGTTCTATTCTGATGATCATGAGTGAGTGAGTGTCATAAATGCGAAACTTTGCTTTCGCTTAACTTCGGAACTAAATGACCTATAGACTTGAAATTTTAAATTTTAAGTATGTGATTATAGCTTACTGGATGACGAAAATTTCTGCGTTCTGGTCTTATCCGGAGGTTCTCAAATAGAGGCCTGAAAATGCGGCGAAACGGTTCCAGTAAAGGATGGTACGGCAGTGTTTGCTTCGCGCTCGACTTGGCGGGGGCACTGCCGTGCCCCCCGATTTCCGGTATCGATATTGTTTACGTAGTACAGAAACATTCATTCATGCTGGCTCTAGTACCTTCTGCTTACGTTTGTTGTTGAGATCATCGTAATTACGCAGCACGCATGATAAGTTCTCATTGCTCTTATTACTTGACTATTAGAAACCGTAAAGTAACGTTTTTAAACGAAAACATACAATTTTACAATTTATTTTAGGTACTATATTATAATTCAGTTTCTTTTTTAATCTTTAACAAATTATGTGGTGTAAGTATATCATGCACTACATAATTTAGGCGTTTTATTTTAAACTATAAAAATAAAAGATTTGGTATATTTAATAAATATATAAATATTATTAATAAATGACTATACAAATAAATAAAATTGAAGTGTCTGTTTGTAATGTCAAAATAACAGCTTTTTACTAAATGCGGTACTTATAACAAAAATACAATAGGTATTTAAAATGTTTGTCTGTCTGTCTTGTTTATTCCGGCTAATCTCAGAAAGAGCTGGACCGATTTCGACGAGACTTTCACTGGCAGATAGCTGATGTTATAACGAGTAACTTAGGCTACTTATATTTTGGAAAAAGACTTACGATTCCGCACAACATAACTAAAACCCTAAAATACACGCAGGCGAAGTCGCGAGGAACAGCTAGTATTTAATAAAATTCTTTTTGGACCATCATATTATTATAGTATTTTATTTATAGGATTAGGGTGACAAACTAGCACACAGTCCACCTGATGGTAAGTGGTTGCTGTGGCCCATAGACATCTAAATATCCTCGATGAGGAATCAAAATTCAGATGCGTGGTCACCTGTGAGGACTAAGATGGAATGCCTCGTTTCCAGTAAAAAGGGTCTCCGGTTCTCTACACTCACCACACGAAACACAGCAGCATTAAGCTGCTATTCTACGCTGGTATTCTGTGAGAGCGTGGTCCTTCCCCGGTCGAGCCGACCCATTCGTGCTACAACTATACCAGAAATATAGCTGCAGCATGGCTCTACCACGTATATATTTTTGTATCGTAAATAGGATATGACTAATCCGCTGTATAGACGAAGTTTTACAAACCAGAATAACCTTTTACTTATAAAAATATACGATACTATCATTAAAATACTATGTACTATCTACTATAATACATAGCATTTATATGTAGGTATATGACTACACCAGGGTGAACACGTGGACGCGTAAATGTTGCCACTATTCGATTCACCAGCGCTTCAAATGTGGACGTGAAGTCCACATGTAGTTTTAATTCGCAAATTTCTTTTTATGTCAACATGATAAATAATATCTTAGGATTAATAGGTTACTCTTTTTTGAGTAAAATTGACGTTAAATTCTGTAGATAAAATTATTTAAACAATTAATGTTATGATTATAAGAAATATAAATGAAAGTTCTTTTATTCATTGAAAAAGAAAAAGATAAACATTATACTTAATGAATATACTAGTACTAGGTAGCAGAAGCCCGGAGCAAAGAATATTTACTAATCTTCTAACCTTCTGGCCACACTATTGAATAATTAGTTTTCTTAATATAAAATAATAATTGTTTACTTTAAACCGACTTCAAAAAGGAGGAGGCTTATTATTCGTCGGCATCTTTTTTTATTAATGTACTTGTTCACCGATTACTTGAAGACGCCTTAACCGCTTTGGAAAATTCTTTTTTTTTGTTTCAAATAGTATACTTTCCAGGTGGTTCCATTTAAATTTTATCGAAATCGGTCGAGCGGTTTTAAAAAAATCAACACTAAATGGACCTACTTACGCAAAACGGAATCAACCCACACAATGACAGTTTTGAGAAAAAGCTGTTTATGTCGAAATTTTGTATACATCAAATCTTTTTGTTATTTTGAATAAAGTTTATATACAATATTGTAGGAAATAATTTATTCTATGTTTACAAACATAATATTGATGAAAATCATTAACATTTTTAATAATAATTTAAAAAGAACTCATTGGTTCCTTTTAGCAAAACTATCTGTGTGTGGGTTGGTTCCTTGTTAATTTATTGCGTTGCCATAATTTTGTAGTAAAAATAATAAATCTTATATTTTCTTTTAATCATTTTACTAAAAAACGAAAACAAATATTAAATTCTTCTAATATAATAATATGTAACATAAAAATGTTAAGAATTACAAAAATGTTTAGTACCAAACAATTACTTAATCAAAATCAAATTTTATTCTACTTCAAAATCAAGTTGACCCGAAAAACCTTCAATATCGTCTTCTAAATCAGCACTTCCGACAAGTTTCACATAAAAATCGTGCGAGTCTTGCGGAATCAGATGTAGCATGCTTTTTAAATCCCTTAACTTCGCTTCAGGGACAGGTTTCCCTGTTGGTCAAAGTGGCTCCATTATCTCTTTCGTTACAAAACATTGTCTTCCACGAACATTTTTTTTTATATTCACGACCTTGAAATCTTCATCCAAATTAGTTTTCATATAAATTTTGAACATTTCATCCTTTTTAATCATGATTTCTTTAGTATTGAGCCACGAAACTTTCTCTCCATCTATCGTTTTCTTTCTATTAACTATGTTCCTTTCTAACTTCAACGATGACAAGAAATCTGCATTTTTCATCCTGTGTACATGCTTTGGCTTAGTTTTTTTACAAGTTTTCATAACATGGATGTAATCATCCGGTGTATAGAGCCTCTGTTGAAGTTTTAAGGCACATTCTATCTTTCCAAAATCTGAATCGTTTGGGAGAAAGCTATGCCCCGATTCAAGAAATTTTATATTGATCTGGTCTAATGTGGGATGTTCATTTAACATAGCTTTAAGCATTAATGTTAATTTTATGTTGCGGTTCTGGCCACCACACGAATCGCACCATAAAATCAGATGTTTCACGTTGCCATCAAGCCTTTCTGTGATATGTTTAATGAGACAAGACCCCACCTCTTGAGCATCTCTGCCAGCTTCACCTTCTACCCACACATTGCAGTGAGCTTCATCATTGCTCCCAGTGTGTATACCTAAATTGTACACCCAGAGTTGTCTTTTGTAAAAGACGATATTCGTGGGTATACGCGGTAAAGGCAACGTTTTTTCGAGATCAAAAGTCAAAGTTTCAACAGAGGGATCATCTTTAGCAAGCTTCATGTCAATTTTCAATTGGTTTGTGGAGATTTTGCGATTTCTTGATGCGCTAAATGCTTTTGTTCAATTTCGGCTCGATTTTGTTCCGATGACGCGTGCAGTATTTGACATTCAAAAAAGTCACACTTATTACACGTATCTTTTTTAAGAGACTTGGTACGCAGGTTAAACTTAGTAAAAAACAATTTATTGACTTTTGCAGTAGATAATATTTTCACGCCAGCTGTTTTTGCTTCATCGCTGTATAGCTCATATATTTTTGATAAGGTCATGTCTGCTCTCAAAAATTTAGCCCCGTCTGTTTTTTCTCGGCGATAGTGGGATATATATGTCGGCAACTTTTTAATAAAATTTATCACGAACTCCTCACTTTCAGGAGATGCTCTATTGCGCCCGCCATGCACACCACGATTATCTGTAATGCGACTTTCTGACCGCATCTTACAAAGTGACGTATTAATTCTTTTTGCTGACGTCTGCAATGTTTTGACGAAGATATCTCTACAAACTGATACACCATCTAGAAAATATTGGCGTGAGTAAAACTTTTTCTTTGAAACATTGGTTTTATTGTCTGTTGCAACGTAATGACGCTTCACAGGTTGTTCTTTTACTAAAGCAGTTAAAAGCATATTTTGCGCATTATACGATCCTAGAGAATAAAACTTTTTAAATTGAGCCAATCTCTTTTCTACGGTGACATTTTCGTGGCACTTTTTTACACAACAACATTGAAAATCTATAAATTTCTTAGGACTGACAATCTTTTTCCTCGAGTTGACGTAAGACAGATTTGTGTACTTTCGTGTTTTCCTTTCTTCTCGCGATAGCCCACCATATTTTGGCTTTCTACCTTTTTTTGGTCTTCCCATGGGCTGTCTTTCAGCCAGTGATGACCCGGTTTCGTGAACAGAAAACGTTCTTTTACGTGAGCAATCATTATTCGTGTTAGCATTGTCAGATATTATAGGAGTTTCTAAAACAGAAACCATATTTTCATTATCGACTTGACCAATTTCCTGTTCAGTACTATGAGGTCCTAAATTAACTGTGTCTAGTTGATGACTAGCGCTCATGTTTATTTGGTTAGTATTTGGTTGCTTTCTGCACGTGCAGTACCAGTCATCAAAGATATTAAATCATTAGAGCTATCATCACTCGAGCTATAATCCACATTAGCACAGTAGTTAAGATCTCTCACCGAATCGTCGCTATCAATAAATAATGGATCTTCGCCATTTCTTATGCTTGCGATTGTTGGTGTATCAGATGTACCTTCAGTGTTGGAATTATCCATCGAATCAGCTAAAATCTGAAACAACGTTGCCGTTTCCGGAGACATAAGAGGAAGCGGTGAAATTAGATTGACAGATTCGACATTTTTTTCAGCAGAAGTCTCAGTGAGCGATTTAGAGGTTAATGAAGCATTATTGGCATTGATATCTGCCCACACAGCTCCAGAAATTTCGTTATTTTTAGCAATTAGAGGCGTCAGCGGTGAGTATGGAGGTGGTTCTATACTTTTTTCAACAGTAGTCTCAATATCATCATTACCAATAGGATTTATATTTGGCCATAAAGCTCCAGAATTTTCATTATTTTTATCAATGACTGGGCGAGGGGTCAGCGGTGAGTATGGAGGTGGTTCTATGCTTTTTTCAACAGCAGTCTCATTATCATCATTATCAACAGATGTTGATATAGTTTTACTATTTTTAACCAAATTAGTAGCTAAAGACAGCTGGGGAGATACAGAACACTGGCAAGCTTCAGCAGTGATAGTAAGTAATTTAGTAGATAAATTAGGTTTAGCTCCATCACCCCCTTTGCAAGTATTTTTTTCATGCGAATTATCAACGACAACGTCCGTACTAAATCTTCTTCGCGTACCCAGCAAATCTAGAATGATAACCCTCTGTTAATTACAATTTGCTAATTCAAACATGCTTATTGAGTCGATTAAGCCTTTTGTATAAAATTCTATAACGGTTTACTGTATAGATTCTATAATGGTTTACTATATGGATACTAATGGTTTAATTATTTTTGACCAAAAAATGTAGTTTCGCCTCTTTGTGTATTACAGCAGTATACCAGTTAAGTACTAAAAACAGCATGCAAAAAAGGTATGCAAAACATTCAGGAATAATATAAAAATTACCTGAAGAAATCTGCATTGGACTGCTTGGTCGAGAGTTATCATAAAAATCTGAAAAAAAGGAATAAAATATTAAGTAAACTATCACATTACTAACTATAAAATGTGGATACGTAATATTATGTATGTAAATACAAAGAATCTGAACTATTACAACCCTATTTAAACAAAGAGTCCAACAAACTAAAATAATGACTCAGTAAAAAGTTTCATTAAGAAACCACATAAAGTTTTTATAACCTCAAAATTATTTACATACCTTGATTGTCATTCTCTTTATCTTCTGAATGGTTGAGGCAGTTAGAAATCATAGTTTGTATCCTGGTATTCACCCTCTTCATTGTTGGAAACAGTAAATTAGTTTATAAATCCCACAACAAACCGAACGTTTCTGTTTTTTTAGACACAGTGTAGCTATTGTTAATGTTTTAATTACATATTATTAAAATTTAATAAAGTTGCCATATTCATACCATAACAAAATTGCCACACAAAATATGGTTATCTTAAAAAAAATTCAATGAATTTAGAAAAACTAGTTAATTACAATAATGTATCTAGGAATCACTGACTTAGATAAATAATATTCTCAATGAATTCATTAAACAACACAGATTCAAAGAACATGAATTATTAGTTGTTGTAAATTGCTTTATATTAACAAGGAACCAAGTAACATGAGTCCTTGTAGAAATATAGGATTAAGCTATTTTTATTATGCAAACAGGAACCAACCCGCATGGTTCTATATTATTGATAAAAATAATATTTTACAAAGGACCATGTGGTATGGGTCTTTATGAAAAAAAACAATTTCAATGATTTTTTAGATTGTCAGGTTACCATCGGGCATGGATCTTGTTTGTTTATTGAACAACTGTTGTTATGTGGGTTGATAACTTTGTCACAGAATTGTTTTATTATGTCAAAATTGTCAGATCATTTTGATCTTTACAGGGTCTATAGAAGGTGCATTTTAAAAGCGTTCTGCATATTTATCTCAATTTTGGCATGTGTGTGGATTGGTTCCTTTTTGCATAAGTAGGTCCAAATTATTTTTATATTGAAGTCGGTTGTACCAAGTTTTTTAATTTTACCACTTGTATAGTAAAAAATTGTGAAAACAATTCATTGGCATCATTTAGATTAGGTAACATTATTAATTAATAACAGTGCAATTTACTTTATTACTCTTTGTAGATTTAGATATCTTGATACAGCATGCCGTGAGCCGTGATATAGTTCTTTAAACTTGATCGGAAAAAACAAGTACTTATCTAATCGCATACGTAAATTTGTTTTTACTGTGAACGCGATACAATGTAACCTTAAAAGTTTGACGACCTGTGAGGACATTGAATGTATCGCGAATGTTTTGCATTGCCTACAAATAACGTGTGTCAACAACGCAACGTTTGTCCGTGGTCGGTACTAATGGACAAAGGTTAATAATATTCTGTTTCAGTATATAAATCTTTATACTTTTAGTTTTTCAGGTAGCTTAAAACACTTAATACCAGTCAAAATATTAAATTTGAAAACAGACCTAAAATAATAATATAATATTTAAAAATTTTGCACAAAACAAAATGTAAATATATAAAGGCGTCTATATAACATAACATATCAGAAACTTGTTTATATATATATATATATATTGGTAAATGTACAAGCTGTAGATTTTGTTTCAATAAAAAAAATGTAGTTAAAGTAAAGGTACCGCATAAAATCAAAAAGTAAGTAAGGAATGGCAATGTCAGTCCACAGTGCCCACGCATAGAGGTACATAAGTACATTATTCTTCAATGTGTACATGAGCTAAGATCCAGAGCGTATTGTCGGAATGAAGGAAAATAAAAACAAACAAGAAGGAATGAATAGGCATAGGTACTTACAAATTTTTTCCTTATTTTTAATGGAATTTAAAATATAGTTTTCTTACATTTCCGGGCATCTGAATAATCTGAAATTTTGCAGCCGTATTATGAACCGATGACAATAATGCAATAATTTTATGACTATGACTTAGTACTCTCACTAGGGTCATCACAGCTCATGATCAATGCGTGTTGCCCAAGTTTACTTAACCTAGATTTTTATTAATATTAAATTTTTTTGCATCTTTGTGTTGCCTTTATTAACTTTTTTAACTTTATTAATTTCTAGTCACTTCGTCTTATCATTTTAATCTGAGATTAATGGGTGGACGGGAAGAGTTTAAATTTGATAATGCATGCTTTATTTTTTTAATATGTATAAATGTCATTCATTTTTTTAATAATTATGTTTAATGGCATATTTCTCTAACAATTAATTCCTCTTTGGGTTTTGTTATAATATTTTGGGAAAGGATTAATACTATCAAAAACATAACTTAAACATGTATTTAAAACATAAAAGATTTTTAATATTAATATGGTCACTATAAGATATTGTTAGGTTAGCTAATTATGTAATAGCTTGAGACAGAAGGACCCTTAAGTAAGGACTGAATAAATTAACCGACTTAGTGTTACATGGATTTCACAACTTTTTACGGTAGAAGAACTGAGTTGCGAGACTTGGTTTTTTTACAAGTTATGTTTTTGATAGTATCTCATTTCTTTTTGTAGATAGTCCTACTTTTTTCCTTTCCGGTACCACCCATCTACTTCTTGAATACCAACTACGGATTTTCGGGCAATTTAGTCTACTTAATACTTTGCGGGATTTTGGTACAATTTCATAAGCCATGTCCCATTCTTGCTTTTTCATTCCGTTGACCATTTTACAAGTTACATTTGAACATAATTATATCTAGGTACCTATCTACATCTATTATTCCATTATATTATACATATACAGGTACACTGATTCATTCACGGGAAATGTAACTTTGTAATCTTATATATTCATATAGTATTACAAAGTTATTTATGCAGTTGGTGTATCTAGAAAACCGGACCGAAATTACAAAATATTGTAGTTTTTTCTTGATTTATACACTAAACACTAATTGTGTTCTAAATTTGAAGCATCTACGTCTGCTAAAAGTGCCTTAGAGTTTGGATGATCGGTCAGTCAGTGAGTGACTAAATTAACAAATTTTGACTAGTTATAATTCTTAAAATACTGGTTCAAATTGAATGAAATTTGAAATATACCGTGTTTATACAATGCATACTTGGTAACTAAAAATTCAGACTTCTAGTTTTATCCACAATTAAGTTATAGGGGGTCGAAAATGGCCTGAACTGCATCGAGAAAAGGATGGTACGTCCGTGCCGCTTTTTTGCTCGACTTGTCGGGGGCACTGCCGTGCCCCCAGAATACAATTTTTGGTTTTGGTTTGGTTAGGGTAAAGACAGTTACGTACCTACATTAAATTGAGCCTCAAAACAAAATATGTATTATATTACTCCACCTCATTCTACGCCATCTTTATTCCATATACACTGCAGGCCAAAAGTTTAAGACCACCTTAATTAAAGTAGGAAAATTAAATAAAACTCCACTAAAATATTAAATTAGTCTTAAACTTTTACTGTACTTGAAAAGCGTAAAGAAATATTAACAGTCCATCCTAAAAAGACTATAGTTAGCTAAACTGATTTTTCATCAAAAAATCCTCCTTGGCATTCTATGACTTTTTTCACAAGTCTCGGCATACGGGCAATCGATTTGTTGAAAGTTTCTTGTGATATATTGCTTCGACTTTCGTACAAAGCATTCCACATTTCTACTCGCGAGGATGACCCCCAATTACGGAGGTACGATACGACTTAGGGACCTTCAAGTAAAGAGCCTACTCCTTTTTAAAAGGCCGGCAACGCATCTGCGATTCCCCTGGTGTTGTAGTTGTTCATGGGCGGCAGTAGTCACTTACCATCAGGTAAGCCGCATGCTCGTTTGCCCCCCTCCTATAGAAAAAAAGTTCAAGCTCTTTCCACAAAAGTTCAATGAGATTGAGCCATGAAACCATGTTTTTAACACCCTCTTGTGCCTCTTTCTCTTCCAAATATCCTCTGCTTAATTTTGAACTATGCTTAGGATCATTGTCCTGTTGGAAAATGAATCCATCTCCAATTAATCACAACCTCGAAGGAATGGCATTTTGTTCTAAAATTTTTTTGTACTCTTCCTTTTTCATAATTCCGTCAATTTTAATCAAATCGCCAGTTCCTTGGTTAGAAAAGCAACCCCAGACCATAATTGAGCCACCACCATGCTTGATTGTTGGGATTACACAGCCTGGAATCATCTTTTCTTGGTCACTGCGTCGAATGTAAATTCTTCGTTTTGACCCGAATAGCTCTTGGATTGGATTCATCAGTCGAAACAACTTTTTTAAAATCTTCTTTAGTCCAATCTCGATGGGCAAGGCCCATTGCATCCGTTTTTTCTTGTTTTGTGGCCTTAGCAGACGTTTTCGAACGGAGACACGACCATACAATTTCGCATCTCTTAGTCGCCGTTTTACTGTGGTCAATGATAAAGGTTTAACTCAGGTTTTGTTTATTTCAACGCGGATTTCCTATGCTGTTATGCGCCTATTTCGCTTACTGGTAACAACAATGAAATAATCTTCACTTGACGTGGTAGCTCTAGGCCTTCCCGAGCGTGGACGATCTTGAAAAGTGCCTGTCTCCCTGTATCGAGTTATTGTGCCATGAACACAAATCTTCGATGACTTCAACTGTAAAGCAATCTCACGTTCGGATCTGCCTTCATTATGTAAAATAACGATGGCAGAACGCATTGCTAATTTCACGTGCTTTTCCCATTTTAAGACGTCTTCACTGTAGTAACCACAAGTAAAGACTAATTGAGATTGTTTGTGAACAAAACCATGTAAACTCATAAGTCGGAAACACGTGTTTTTGGAAGCTAAATAATCGTAATTATTGACCAGTGGGAAACAAGCAATTAGTTATTGGCCCATCATAAAAATATTATTACGACTCTACCACCTGGCACTAACGCAGCGTTTGTCGTTATTTGCAAACAATACGTTTATTGTCCAATAACTTGAAAGTAAATAAAAGAATGATTTCTTTAGCTATTCGATATTAACAATAGAATATGCCGATGTACATTTCTTTTATTTATCTTATGGGATTTCGTTACAATTTACAGATAACTAGCTGACCAGCCAGACGTTGTTCTGCCCTTTCCGATGACCATTTGCTTTCCTAAAAAAAACTCCTGAGATTAGCAATAAAAAAATTGAGGGTCACTTATCGGGATAAAAACTATCCTATCTCTCAAGTTGGACCAAACAGCACACAGTGTGCAAAATTTCATTGAAATCAGTACATTAGTTTAGGAGTCCATCGCGGACAAACAACGTGACACGTAATTTTTATATATAAAGATTATGTTGTTTAAGTGTGGTCTTAAACTTTTGGCCGCAGTGTATATTATGTCG